TTCTTGGAGGAAATATTCTTTACCTGCCTTTTTGCTTGCTTTGTTGAACTAGGGAACTACTAGGACTTTCTCGGTCCGTAGACTCATTAATGTATGTTTTAATCCATGGTAAATCAAAAATAACCCTCTAATCTATATTTTTTTAGAGATTAATGTGTATCCTTGACAATGATATGATACAATCCCAACCATGTGAAATTCCCTCTCCTACTTTATTCTCTCTCCTTCACATGGTGGAAATTGTGTCACATCATTGTCAAGGAGGAAAATTATCTCCTTGTCACCCATTAATCTCTTTTTTTATTCCTTAAGTTGTATATATTATCACTTATCACATCTGTGAGGGATCTATTTTGAGAAAGACCAACCGGAAATAAGACCCTTTTTCTTCCCAAGGAGAAAGGAGAAACTCATAAATGTTTATGTTAAAGTATCTTAAAGTCTCTAACCATTGCGTTTATATTCTAAAATGTCCTTGTTGGTCAAAACTTGGACCCACTTGTATCAATTTTTTAAAATTTCGTTTTAAATTCATAGACGGTAGGATTTAAGCCCGGATTGCTACGATAGCATCTTAAATTAGATGACCCAAACATCACACTAAAACTCCCAAATTATGATGAGGACCGAGGATTATACAACAATTGTAAAATCATGCGCCAATCTAAACCGATTTTGGTGGTGTGTGTGTGTGTGTGTGGTGGCGGGCGGGGGGGCCAATAAAAAGTGGATTCAGATTCTCTCCACTACAAAAAAAACAGTGGAGGGATCACTACATAATCACGGTCATTGATTATCTAGTTAATGATTGTGATTTTATCTTTTAGTGCAAGTTAGGAATGAGTGCAATACACGGGGGTATGGTAAATGTTAGATTTAGATTGTATCATAATCGTCTACTAAATAATCAACGATTGATATTAAAAGCAGTGGTCTCTCCACTACTTTTTTGTAGTGGAGAGGATCCAAATCCCAATAAAATATCCTAAATCCTATCAGAATATTCTTTAAACCATTCGCTGGTTGACATCAG